TAATCGGAAACACAGCTGGTAATATTTGGCTTTAATTCGGCTTTTATCGGGGTTTATTTTTTGGATTTCTGTATTTTTGTATTTTGTATTTTTTGTATTTTGTGTATACTATTTGTTTTTAATATGCTGTGAACCGCCCTGAGTCCTATGGGAGAAGGGCGGTATACAAATTAAATTATCTATCTATCTATCTATCTATAATGGCAATAGAAGATTTAACCATGCTAGTATAGGTGATGAATGTGTACTCAGGGTTACTTCATAACTTCAATATAATAATAATAATAATAATAATAATAATAATAATAATAATAATAATAATAATAATAATAATAATAATAATAATAATAATAATAATAATAATAATATGATGATGATGATGATGATGATGATGATGATGATGATGATGATGATGATGATGTTGTTGTTGGAAGGAGGGACCTTGGAGGTCATCTTGTCCAACCCCGTGCTCAGGCAGGAAACCCTATACCATTTCAGACAAATGGCTGTCCAATCTCTTCTTAAAGACTTCAAGTGTTGGAGCATTCACAGTTTCTGGAGGCAGGTTGTTCCACTGATTAATTGTTCTAACTGTCAGGAAGTTTCTCCTTAGTTCTAGGTTGCTTCTCTCTTTGGTTAGTTTCCATTCATTGCTTCTTATCTTACCTTCAGGTGGTTTGGAGAATAGCTTGACTCTAATTTCATTTTTTTCTCACTTTTTACTTTCTCACATTCTTTTTTAAATATAAAGCAACCAAACAATCCATTCCATTCCATTACATGATCACAGTTGTATGAACTTGCATTATTCTGTTGTAATTCACTCCTGGACATTAGCCAGGTTTTAAGAGTATTTTGTTTAGAGAAATGAGTCAGTCCAGATTTTGGAACAAAGCAGATAGAGGAGGAGTCAGTGGTAAGAATAAAACAGTAATACAATACAATTTCTTTTGGTATTAATAACATTTATTACAAAATTATTTGGGTTTTGGCATGTTTTTTTATCATCTTCAAGAAACCCAATGGAGTAAACCTAATGAGATTGGTCCATACAGTGAGTTAGCTATCAAAGTGACATTACTATGTGAAAAACTCAGAACTCTGAATTATAATGTATTTGTTTAAGCAAATTCAAATTTGTATTAAAAGTGAAAAAGACATTCAAAAGTGGCAAAATGCCATGGTATGCAAAATGATATATTTTACAATTATCTGTGACACTATTTGTCTAAAAGTGATTCTCCTAAACAATCTTGCCATGTTGTCAGAGACAGAGTAAAGAAGATGAATGATTAAGAAGAGGAGCAGTTGGGAACTATGGCTGATTTTATAAATGTATGCTGTTGTAGGGGGCCTCTTATATTTTATTGATGTAAGGAGTTCAGCATAGGGAGTCTGTTATTGGATTCACATAGTATTCCAAAGCAATGCAAAATCTGGCACATTCTTTAGTGCAATATGTAATAAGTCAGACATAGCTCTATAACTACCTAATGTATAATCACCTTGCATTTTTGGAGAAAAAGTGTGAAAGAGATCTTCCAATTGAAAAGTGAATGGATACACGCAGCTTGCATACATGCAAGAGAGTACTGTAAAACACTATGAGGCTATATATAAGGCTAAGTGCTATTGCTATTGGTATGATTGAGCTGTTGGAATTGGGATTCATTATTTATTTGATTAATTTGATCACCTGGTGATAAACATATGTCCATAAAATACATTAAATGTATATAGTGTAAATATAAAAGAAACAAACAATAAAATAACCACAGTGATACATTAAACTAACTCTTGACAAGCAATAGTATTCCTTCACACCCTAAAAGGCTTTCTGAAATAATTGGGATTTTTAATAAGTTATGGAAAACCAATAGAGGCTGACTGATGTTCTGTAGGGATACTATTCTGCTTGAAAAATTCAGCTGGTTTTCCTTATTGTAACTTCGTAAAAACTCAGTGTGCTCCTGCTTTCTCATTCTTTCCTTTTCTATAATTCCATTTTCACTTTTATGGCAATAAATGGGTATAGATATCTTCAGGATTAATTATATGAATAATCCCTTTGCTTTTCTGGGCTGAAAAAAAATGCTGAAAAACAACTTTTATTTTATCAGGTTTATGCTTGTAGGAGAGCCTTTTTCTGGCAAGACCAAAGTTCTGCATGTATTAGCAGATACACTTACCCTAATGAACCAGCGTGAGTATGGAGAAGAAGAAAAGGTAATACACAGAACTGTCAATCCAAAAGCTATTACTATGGGACAACTCTTTGGACGATTTGATCCAGTATCTCATGAGGTAAGCATTATACATTCCTTAGATTACAAAAATGTACTTTATAGTTTTGATCAATCTAAATCTTCAGGTAGGGTAGCTCCATTAAATTGCTAATGTGTACTTGTATATTTTTGTGCATGTTTCAGAAAATGTTCCAAATACAAATTAAAGTGAAGAAGATCAGTCCTTTTTTATTGGATTAGTTAAGGCTACCCATCTCCACAAAGACTCTAGAAAGCTTACAAAATATCAGTTGTATAATTAAAACTTAACATAGCAAAACATAACTGTCCACACTGTCCATACCCTAACCTAGCAGCACAGGCAGATATTAAGGGGCTGCCAGGACACTTGGAGAGTGGGAGTCATACATATCTCCATGGGAATGCTATTCTAGAGGGTAGAAGTGTTTTAATGAAATTTATCAAGTCACTGCACAATTGTCAGCAATCATGGAGAAAAATTCTTAATCTTAGTTTGATCATTCAGTAGTATATGTAGTTTGCTGCCTGTCAATGTAATATGGTATGTGTTTGAAACACGACTATATGTGTATATACATATATTCGCAAATCAGTATACATGTTAGGTCAATATAAGCAATTAAAGTTTCCTTGTGTCTCTCTTCATTCTAGTGGACAGATGGCATAGTTGCCAATACTTTTCGAGAATTTGCTTTAACTGAAACACCTGACCGCAAATGGGTTGTTTTTGATGGTCCTATTGATACTCTTTGGATAGAGAGTATGAACACTGTGTTGGATGACAACAAAAAGGTAATGCTGTTAATTACCTTGGATTGCTGGGTGGGGGTGGGGATTGCATTAGCTTCCAAATTACCTGCTTGTTCCAATTATTGCATACATATATTGTACTTAATTTTCAGTTAAACAGAATTTAGGGAGTTTATTTATTTTTTCTATTATTTATGTTTTAATATATCATAAAAATAAAAGTTCAATTATATTTCAGCAACAATCTTCATTTTGAAAAAAGGCTTAGCAGTACAATATGTATTATAACTCACATTTTAAAAATATGTTAAAGAAAAGGGGATGCATGATTAAAAAAATAAAAAAGGATTGAATTCAAACAACTGCAGAAAAGGAAATGAAAACAATTAGTTCATGTGTTGAGCAAGAATGTAACAATCAAATGTTTTGTAAAAGCTTTCTAATATAAACCCTATCTTTTAAAAATACTTACAAAGCTCGTCCTTAAATAATATATTAAGATTTACCTTTTCTACTAGTAAAAGCAACAGAATTGCTGTCATGGGCTGTAATAAACAGCAAACCTGTTTATTCACTGTCACATTATTGTATTCCTCCTCAACTGTTGAAAGTTCCGTACTTTTTAGAATATCTTTGATACCACTAAAAATACAAGTCGATACGACTTACGTAGATGATCCAACCGGAATCGAACTCTGTGAAAGAAAGAGTTGGGTTCCAACCATCTTAGGAAATATTTTCCTAACGTATGTATATTAAATCTATAAAAAAACCATAGACAAAAACAAACGTCGATACAATGATGAGTGGAGAAATTATTCAAATGTCACCTCAGATGAGCCTCATCTTTGAGGCTATGGATCTATCTCAGGCTTCAGTAAGTTAAAACCAAGTTAAAATAGTTTTCTAAATCTGAAATTGAAACCAGAATGAGATTCTAAAAACACATTTATTATTCTGCTGTAGCCAGCTACAGTCAGTCGATGCGGAATGATTTATTTAGAGCCTTCGCAGTTGGGATGGAAGCCACTTGTTACTTCATGGTTGAGCACACTTCCCGAACCCCTGAATGAAAAGGAATTCCAAGACCTGTTTGAAGAACTTTTTGATTGGTTAGTACCTCCTGCTTTGCGAGTTCGTCGGAAACAGTGCAAGGTAATTTGGCATTCTCTCAGGAAAATGATTTAATCAGCCTATTTTTGTTGACAGAATCATATATTGGTGAAGGCATGTTTCTATTTGGAATTGTAGATATTTTTAAGTTTGTATAGTTCAAAGATATGAATAAACTGCTTGAGTATAGGGAGTACTCATTTAGCAACCACAATAAGGACCAGTACCTTAGTATGTTGTTAAGCAAAGCAGTCGTTAAGTGAAAACAAACTGTGCTCAATGATCTCAGTTTAGCTTTCCTTTGCTTTACAGACCTGTGAAGATCATAAATGCAAGGACTGGTCATAAAGTTACTTTTTCATTACTATCATAACTTCAGTTACTAAACAAGGCAACTGCTAAATGAGGACTACTTATACTAAGACTGGTTTTTTGAATCTTGCTCCTAGTTCCGCTAGAACTCTCAAAGTTTCTTTGCTATTATCTATAATAACTGTTGTAGATTATTTCTTGGGTTGGAAGGTTCTGGCCTTACTTACCTGGATGGATGAGTTCAAATGACGGTGACTTCTGTTTCACCCTATGTCTGCTAGGCTCTATCCATGCCCTCAATCCTCATTTTTTAAACATCTGCATGAAATTGCTGGAGGAAGCACAGTAATCTAAAAATTGGAACTATCCAATTATATGGTTAGTTCAACCTCTGTTCCATTATGCAAATGTAACCTACATCGTCAAATTAAGCTGGGAAGAGATAATGTGTTGATATAAATGGAACCTTGGAAATGAATGGATAGAAAACTCCCAAATAATTAGTTACTCTCGCATCAATTTGCATGCTACCCATCTCAACAAGTGAGTCTACATGGAGAACAAAATTAAAATAAAAATCACAATTGGCCATATAAAAATTAAAATTAGCAGCTGATGAAGGTATAAAAATTAAGAGACACCAACCCAGACAGGAGACTCGTCTCTTCACACACTTGGGGCCTCAGGCCTTGGACACATAACCAGTTCTTTTGTGCCTGGTTACAAAGGCTATCAAGATTGGAGCCATTCTAATCTGCCCAGGCAAAATATTTCATAGGGCAGGTGTTACATCAGAAAAGGCATGTCTCCTGGTCTGACCAACCAGCATTTCTTAGCTGTGCATAATTTTAATTTGTATGACTTAAGGTTTTCTGTATGATGCTCCATTACAAAACATAATAAAAGTTATTTATTGAGTAAGTTTTACGAGTAATTAAGGGAGAAACATGAAACAAAAACAATTATAAACTTTTAATAAAATATTACAATAATATCACTTGACTCATATCTGTAGCTGTTCAAATTTGCACTCTTAAAACATAAAATATGGTCAAACCTAATAGTACAATAATTATGATAGAAATCTCTATATCTATTCTGCACAAGTACTCTTCTTACTCTTCTTCTCTTACAGGAGTTAGTTCCCACCAGCAATAGCAATAATGTGATATCTCTCACACGGCTGTTGGAAATACTGTTGTGTCACAAAGCAAAAAAAGATCCAAGCAATAAAAATATCCATAAATGGGTTACGGTTGGTCTCATAATTTAATATATATTTTAACCTTAAAAATTGGTTATAATTTTTTTGTTAAATTTCACCCTTTGAGTTAATGTAAGGGAAAGTATAAAATATTGTGTTACTATAGATAAATAATGCGCACTTCAAATCTTTTATCTGGAAATTTGCTATAACTGTAGCAAATGTATTGAAGTTAGAATAATTATACTTAGCTACTAATTTCTCCATGACCATATTTTATGAAAATACAAATTATTTATTTATTCTTTTGGAAGGGTTGTTTTGCTTTTGCTATGATTTGGTCTATTGGAGCAACCTGTGATAGTGATGGTCGGATTATATTTGATAACTTTATGAGAGATATTGTCATAGGAAAGTTGGATGAACATCCAATACCAGCAACCATAGGAAAATGGGAACATCCATTTGAAGAAAAAGGATTGGTGTATGATTATATGTTTGAGGTATGGAATCTGCTCTAGACTAATTGATAGTTATTTTAATTTGTTACATTTGTTCTCATATTTGCTGTATAAGAAAGAAACAAATCATCACTAATAATTAGCTTTCATTAAACATTAGTATACGTCTCAGGATAATCTGTGCATATGGTCAAGTGTTGAAAAACTCATGAAAAATGTAATACATTTTTTAAGTAATTGTCTTTAAGATAAGCCTTTTTAATATTATCCCTTTCTGTACTAATAGAAGAGAAAATGTGTAAAATCTTCCTTTCCATCTAGCTTTTATATGAAGTAGTAGTGAGGAGCTATTGATATGGGGGACATGGGGTGGAGGAATGTTTGCAAAAGTTTAGTTTGAAGTCAAGAAAATACGTTTCTTCATTTTTTCTAGAGCAGGGTTTCCCAAACTATGAGGCATACCTACCTCTCTTGAGGAGCTACAGAGTCCAGGGAAAGTGTGAAGAATTTCTTTATTGTACATTGTTACAATAAATTTACCTTTCCCAAAGTTACATTGTATTGCTTTTATTGTTGTGTTGATTTATATTTGTTTTTTTAAGGGAAGTATTATACTAAAATGAGTTGTGATGGCGAAAAGTTTAGGAATCCTTGTTCTAGAGAATAGGGTTTACAGAAAATAAATGCTTTATCATTAGTATGACTTCTAATGGAAACACATAGGTGCCTACCATGTATGGAAGGGCCCCCATTATTGGTATAGAAGCAGAAAATGTGCTTGTTACATAGTATTTTATACTTTACATGTTTCATTGTTTTAACTTAATTGCTTTGATATTAAAAGAGATGCTGATACCTATAAAGTTCTAATGAAGCAGAAATTATTTCTGCATTTCTTCATAGTTAAAAGGAAAAGGCCGTTGGGCACATTGGAATGAAGCTGTTAAAAATGTCAATTATAATGATAAAAGTATTAAAGTTCAAGACATTATAGTTCCAACAATGGACACAGTCAGATATACCTATTTGATGGAATTGTGCATTAAATATGGAAAGTAAGAAAGCGTGTTTCTTTTAATTATACAAATGTTTCATTTTCCACATGAACTCTTTATGTAAAGCATCCAGAAATTGTTTTACAGTCTAATTAACAAAAAAGAATCTAGTATTACTGTGTTTCTAATATTAAGCTCCTCAAAATATTCTTTAAAACAATATGTTCTTGTATGCATCTGATTTAATGACTTTTATCTTAAATTTTTGCATAATGGCTCATGGTGTATTATTATTGTATCATAAAATATTTAGAATTGTAGAACTTTCTCTAAGAAAGTAGAATGCTCAATTTCTTTAAAGTTCATTTAATTTCATTGCCCTTTCTAGCACCATTTCACCGCATACATATTTCAAGCCAATATGCAATAGGATGTATCTGCAAAGCAAGCCACCATAAAATAGAAGGAGAGGAAATTATGTGGAGAGGAGTTCCATTTTCATATTAGAGCTTACTATGTTCTCAGAAAAATGCTGAAGTGAATTCAATGTTAAATAGCTGTATAAACAGAAACTCCACTGGACTTAAATGCATGGATTTATCTCAATAAACCCTGATAAGCTATAAAAGATTGGTTTCTATTAATTTACATAGGCTAATATATTGGACTGTTGATCCAATACGTTGATCCACTGCTCTATGTAGAAGGTATTCAATTTCTATTTCTATTCCAATAGACACCATTGGACTTCACCTTGTTTCTAATAACAGTAATAAAAAAATTGATAAAGTTTGACTGCTGTAATAGTAAAATATTTTAGTACAATAAGGCAGCTCACTTAGGAGCTGTGTAAATAGCAGTGTAAATATTAAAAGGTATAATAGTAGTGCCCTGGGCCATGAATAATATTAAAAAGTTCCTTGTGACCAGAAGTTTTAAATCCAGTTCAGTTGTAGTTTTTGTCAAGGTTCCGACTAATGAAATCAAATCAGAACTCCGAGGCTTGAAGTTTCCTCAAAGAACATGTTTATTGGATACATAATGTCGGCACGGTCAAAAGTGAAACCAACTCTAAAATTCCCCTTAGGGATTCAATGTAATTAAATGTAACAATTCCCTCTCCTTTGCTATGTGATTGATCATGCTAACGGTTTGAAATCAATTGAAACTTCTTCTGTCCACCTTTCAGCTCCCTTGGGAATGACCTTGGTTCCCATGGACTGCTCCGTGTTTAGTCTAGCAATGCTGTTGTTTTCTTCCCTCCCCCCAGCCTGTGGCAACTCAGAACGACAAAGATGGCTTCAGCCAGCTTTGTTTCAGAAGTTGACAGTTTTATTTATTTATTTCATGTATTAATTTTTAAACTGCCTGATAGCCAAAACTCTCTGTGCAGTGCACAATATAACTCACTAAAATATATTCTCAGTTAAAACTCCATATGATAACATAAAATACATTGCAAAATAAAAACATTATATAAACTAGGCAATCGCATAGCAGCCATTTAAAACTAAGAATTACAATAAAGTTAAAATAGAATTAAAAGTCAACCAAATCGAACCCTTTTGTCTTTCCAGAAGTGTTTACGATTACTACGATTACAACAACAGTCAACACGGTGAGTCCTCCCTACTAAAATTCAGGTGTTGTCTGTCTACTACAAACTTTCATCGAGTCTACCTGTGGAAGGTTCAGGTCACTTCATATCCTTCTTCCTCTATATCGTGTTAGTTTGAACGTTCAGACAATATCGGTGTCTCAATAAATATAGTTTAAATCTTCCTGTGGAGTTGACTCCTAGTGGTCTAGTCCATTCAGTGGGACTGACATCAATCTTGCACGTATGATTGCCTGAATTTTCTGCTTAACATATAGGACTTCTACATACATTTCAATTGTATTTATTTTTTTATTTCTTTATGATTCCATGAATAGGTAACTAAAATTATAAAGCAGTCATATGATTCTCAAGCAATAAAAAATTGTCAGAATCAATTGCTGTTGTTTAATAGTACTATCTAGTTTAGTCTAGTCATGAAAACCTAATGTCTGTCTGAATTTCTTACCAAGGGCTCTGCTTTTTGTGGGACCTACTGGTACTGGGAAGTCTGTATACGTAAAAGACAAGCTAATGCACCACTTACAAAAGGATCTCTACTTCCCATTCTTCCTTAACTTTTCAGCTCGAACCAGTGCCAATCAAACTCAGGTTAGTGAGATAGTTCTCTTTGGGGAATTTGGAATCTTTTACTAAAATTTGAATTTTTAAAATTTATTTTTGCTGGAACCCTACTTTGTTTTAGACCTGCAGTTTACATTTAGATTCATTTGACATGAATGTTCATTTACTTCTATCATTTGCTTAGGTAAATGATATAATTAACAATCAAACCAGTGATGGTATTCAGTCAGTTCGCACCACTTTGGCAGAACCGGTAGCTAATTTTTTGTTGCCCAGGCCCAGAATGGACTTCTGGAAGCGGCATCTACACAGAGAACCGGTTGTTCACATATTGAAATCCCACCACTGAATAAAACATATTATATTTAAGCATAGGCAATCTTGTAGGGACATTGTTGTGACCTCTCTCACATCAATGTTGTTGTGGGCAAAAATAGGAGAATGGTTCAAGAACTCCTATATAAAAATGTGTGTGTATATATCTCTATATCTATATCTATATATCTATATTTCTATAAAATACATATTTTTGTTCAAAAATTAAGTGGATTTTATTTAAGATTCGTGATCAGCTGTTTTACTTACCCACAAAACTTTTATAAACCATTTATAAATCATTTTTAAATTACAAGTTAGATTAACATTTGTCTGCATCTGCTTTATTTGCATTGTGTGCTAGAAATATGTCATACTGCAATATACTCTGCCACACAATGTGGCTTGCATCTCTGTTTAGTTTTACATACTTTCAATCATCTGGATCAATATCTGATTAAATCGGGAAGGATATTGCCACAGAGGCATCCCTGTTAGAGGTGAATAGATATGTTTGTCAGCATAAGTTTGCCGTAAGTGGCTATCTGCATTTATTATGGATGCATGTGGAGAAAGCTATTTGAGACTCATTATGTGGATGAGTTCTTTTAATTTTCTTCATAATAATTATACAATATAGCCCTTTTATCTTTAGAGTAGAAAAGTTGAAACTTCTCTTAGGATCAGAGGATGGTGAAACAAATGATTGATTCTTCATGAAGCTTCAAAAATAACAATAATGCATATGTTTGAGTTTTATAATGTTCCTACTAGTACCACGAGTATTTTTAATTTCATCTATCTCATAAATAGTTACTTTTAGGGGTATACAGAGTAATAGAGCTTCCCGTATATCACCTTTCAGCCCCATCTGTTGATATGCATGCATATGAGCTGCTTTGCTTGTTCACATTTCTGTTTTTCTCAGCTCCACTAGCTAGACCAGACCAGGAAATCAACTCTATAGTAAGACTAAAACTACTTTATTGAGATTGATTATCATAATAGAATCTTGCAAAACTGATTTTACTTAGTTCTTCCTATACTTCAGTAAATTAGGGAGGTTTCCACCTAAGTCACTTCTGAATATTATCTTATTGTTCTGGAGTAAAATATATTTCAGCTCCTTTTGCCCCTGGTAATGGTTTCTGCATATTTCTGTCAAGGTCATGTTCCTTACTTTCTACAGTTTTTGTGCTACTGTGATGATAGTTTTGAAATTGGTTCCGCTACAAATTTCTGATCTAGGATTCTTTGAACAAGATCTTTAGTAATAAACTCTTTATCATTTGTAGTATTTCTTGAAGCTTCTGTTTCCAGTTTGCTTAGGTTCCATATTTTGCAGCTGTAGATCATCAGCATGGTGATAAATGTGATCTCTCTTGCACTGGTGTTGTCCATCTGTTGAGGGTTGGTTTTATGCAGTTAAAGTTAAGCCATGTCACTCACTGTTTTTTTGGTCTCTTCCAACTTTTATTATTATTATTATTATTATTATTATTATTATTATTATTATTATTATTATTACCTTTATTTTAAAAAAGAATGCAATAATTTGATGTGTTATTCCTCATAAGTTATTTTTAGTGAATGGAAACATTTTTTTTTTTATTGTAGAATATTATCATGGCCAGGCTGGACAAAAGGCGGAAAGGAATATATGGGCCACCTGTGGGAAAGAAGTGTGTAATCTTTGTAGATGATATGAATATGCCTGCACTGGAGCAATATGGAGCTCAGCCTCCAGTTGAACTTTTAAGACAGTTTTTTGATCATGGAATCTGGTATTTTTTTTATTTTGTATAATAAGTAAATCTTTGAATGTTATCAGACTATCAGTGATACAAAACATCTGTCTGTTTCAGATGTGAGAATATACCACTGTGGGAGGTTTTTTCTGCATTTTTGGGGAGGGACTGCTTCATTATTAGTAGCAGTAATATAAACTACTTTGCCTTTCATACTCAACCTGAGGGGTCCTTCTTCAGAGCAAGATATTTTGAAGCAGGTAGACCTGAATATTTTTGTGCCATAGCAGCACAAACCCTCCAGGATTACATCCATAATTCTTCACTTTTTTAAAAAGGGACATATCATTTAACCATTTGGTGGCTCTGGAGAGCAACACTAGACATTTTCCTGAAGCAAACACTGGCCCAGTATTTGAAGGATCCTCCATGTAATGCAAGTTATTTTAAAGCAGTGATGGCAAACCTTTTAGACACTGAGTGCCCAAAACCCACCCTACCCGCCCCTGCCCTGTCCCCACTCCGCCCCCTGCTCCGTCCGTCTGCAGGGCCACCTACCGCCTCTATGGCCCACCACAAATTGGACAGGTGGCCCTGCAACGCCATGGCCACGCCCTCCATCCACACCCTATAACATCTGCGTGTGATGGGGCGCAAGGGCGGAGTCTTGTCCCTGCTGCCCGGCTCCCATGTCCTTGGCTGTGCTGCTCCGTGCAGGCTGTGCCCAGGGTCAATTCTCCTCTGGGGTGGCTGCTGGGGGAGGTGGGGTGATGGGACACATGCCCACAGAGGCGGCACGCATGCCATAGGTTCGCCACCACTGCTCTAGAGAGTTATAACATTATTTTTTGTCACAGTGAGTTGTTGGGTTGCCAGCTACTCTAGAGAAGTAGATCTCCCCCCCCCCCCAATGGCTATTCTGGAGATGCAACCAGTAACCAGTATGATTCTCCTGAGCAACCAACATGCTCAGTGTCTTGTTTCTTCCTCATTAAAAGGCATAACCATACCTGGTAGATTCAGCAGTTTAAACCTGAGAGCCAGCAGTCACTGCTGTAGCTAGCCAAAGAAGCATCCTGTTAGTCTTCCAGGTTGGGGATAAAAAGAAAAACCACAATACTCTGCCCTGTCCGGTCCATAATCTGAAAAAGTCAGTCATCTATCCCACATATTTAATTCTAAGGTGGATTTTTTTAGAAGATAATTTTAGATATGTCTATATTATTAAAAGGAAGCTGCATTTCTCATAAAGTTTTAATAATGAGAATTAAGTGTACATTTATAAATATATATCCTTCTTAAATATCCATATACAATAAAGCTTTATTTTCTTAGTGAGTGTTTCATTACTCATAATAGTATATAACAATGCAAGTGTGACTCCATATGGAATCCCCTTTCATGTGATCATTTCTGCAGTACTAAGAAATTGTGGTATTGTACCAAATTTTGTCCTGTTGCCAATGGAATTCCTTTTCCATTGGAACAGATTTGGAGGTTTGCAGGATGATGTAAAGATGAGGATTGGAAAGGGAAACTCTTGCTGCACAGTTAATATATAAAATACTATATATTAGCTAGTTGAATATTAAGGTATTTTTATGCTATTGCACTAAACTTTCATATATCACCGTGGTTGTCTGAATATCGCATATTTCTTTTAAAGGTATGATTTAAAAGACACAAATAAAATAACACTAGTTGATATTCAGTTGATGGCTGCCATGGGTCCACCAGGTGGTGGAAGAAATCCTGTAACACCTCGTTTCCTGAGACATTTCAATATTTGCACCATTAATTCCTTCAGTGATGAAACAATGGTCCGGATTTTTTCTACTCTTGTTTCTTTGTATCTCAGAGTAAATGAATTTATTCCAGAATATTTCACAATTGGAAACCAGATTGTCAGTGGCACTATGGAGGTAGGTCATATTCTCTGCTTAGTTATTTGTGTTAAAATGTAAACTAAGAGATTTTCCAGATGACTCAGATAGCCTCATGAGTGCATCATTTGGGGGAAAAGTGCAACTAATTTTTCTAACAGGCAAATATTTTCTGAAATAATATTGAGGAAAATGTGTGCAAGGGATTGATGAAAGAAATTATGAAATGAGCATTGCATTATTGTAATGTAATCTCTGCCTCTGCCCAGGACTGGTTGCAATTAAAAGTGCTGCTTATCACCTTTAATGGCATAAGGTTCAGATATTTGAGAGAGCATCCATCTCCAAATCTTCTGGCCATCTAGTACAATGATGCAGAGTTGGTATGCTCTGGTCCCTTCTGTTAAATGTCATCTTTCAGGAATGAGGAAGCATGCCTTCTCTGCTATGGCATCTGTCCTCTGGAACAGCATCCCCCAGAGATACATACAACTCCCATCCTTCAAACAGAGCCAGTTTCTTGTTTAATGAAAAGAAGGGCAAGGGGGTGATATGATAGCAGTGTTCCAATATCTCAGGGGTTGCCACAAAGAAGAGGGAGTCAAACTATTCTCCAAAGCACCTGAAGGCAGGACAAGAAGCAACGGATGGAAACTAATCAAGGAGAGAAGCAACCTAGAACTAAGGAGAAATTTCCTGACAGAACAATTAGTCAGTGGAACAACCTGCCTCCAGAAGTTGTGAATGCTCCAACACTGGAAGTTTTTAAGAAGAATTTGGACAACCATTTGTCTGAAATGGTGTAGGGTTTCCTGTCTGAGCAGGGTGTTGGACTAGATGACCTCCAAGGTCCCTTCCAACTCTGTTATGGATTTGGGCAATCTTGAAATTCAATACAGATGTAAATACATACATGTTTGGTGATCTAACTTTATGAAGTTCATAATTCTAAAAGTTATGCTTTTTTTCTTTCCAATAATTAAGGTATACAAGAAAGCCATGGCAAACCTATTGCCAACACCAGCCAAATCCCATTATACATTCAATTTGCGTGATTTTTCACGAGTTATCCTAGGCTGCTTGCTTATTAAGAAGGATTCAGTTGTCAACAAGCATACAATGATTCGTCTCTTTGTACATGAAGTATTTCGAGTGTTTTATGACCGGCTTGTGGATGATGCTGATAGGGCTTGGCTGTTCAAACTCATGAAAGAAATTGTGAAAGAACATTTCAAAGAAGCATTTGATGCAGTATTTTCACACCTGAGACAAGGAAATGCACCTGTAAGTATTCACAGTATTTATTACAAAAAATATCTCTTATTCATTCCTGCCTGACCAGCTTTACTAGAACTAGAACAAAATCATACAATTGTGTGTCATTCCATATGGCAAAGCAAGATGTTTCTTTGCTGGATGTTGAATTCTTTACTTGCCTTTTTTAAAACAAAAAACAAAAAAAGCAAAAAACCAAGGATATATGAAGACATTGTAGCCCATGACTCCTGATACATCTTCTGGCTCTTTTGAGAGGTTACAGAATATGACTGTTGGGATATATTGCAGTGGCCATGCAATTTGAGTGAGTTATGGTTGGGAAGATATCTAATTGAGGTATCTGGGTGGCGATATTCTCTGAAATAGAAAGGAAGTGCAAGAGATACCCACTTGATTTCTTGCTGCATGACAGTTTCAAAAGCTCTCATTTTTCTTTACAGCAAAAGTATGAAACGGTAACAGTATCTATTTGAAAGAGAGGGAAAAATCTCCCATTTAAAAAAAAAACACTCTCCATGGTTTGCTGCCTTTGGAGGAATATTTTCACTTCATTTTTTTTCTCTTCACGTTTTTTTAAACATAATAATAGTAGTAGTAGTAGTAGTAGTAGTAGTAGTAGTAGTAGTAGTAGTAGTAGTAGTAGTAAAGTTGGAAGGGACCTTGGAGGTCATCTAGTCCAACCCCCTGCTCAGGCAGGAAACTCTATACCATTTCAGACAAATGGCTGTCTAGTCTCTTCTTAAAAACTTCCAGTGTTGGAGCATTCACCGCTTCTGGAGGCAGGTTGTTCCACTGGTTAATTGTTCTCACTGTCAGGAAGTTTCTCCTTAGTTCTAGGTTGCTTCTCTCCTTGCTTAGTTTCCACCCGTTGCTTCTTGTCCTGCCTTCAGGTGCTTTGGAAAATAGCTTGACTCCCTCTTCTTTGTGGCAGCCCCTGAGATATTGGAACACTGCTATCATGTCCCCCCTCGTCCTTCTCTTCATTAAATTAGACATACCCAATTCCAGCAGCATCTCCAAAGCTAAACATGCACATAAAAATAGAAAAAAATATCAGGGACAGAAGGGAAAGAGTGACTTCTGTCTCTTTCCCCACATTATTTTTGGCACTAAAAATAGAACCTCACTCTTTGGGAAGATAGAGGGAAGCAACAGCTCATGAACCTGCTTTAGCAGGACCCCTCAAATATATATACCAGTGGTGGCGAACCTATGGCATGCGTGCCAGAGGCGGCACTCAGAGTCCTCATAACTCAGTAATGCTTAGTACTGTTTTGAGTAGCAATCGTACTTTCTGATTTAATTGTTGTAATCTGAATATTTCTTGCATTGCATTCCATGATTTTTTATAATGTATTTGAGGCTTTGAGGCTTAAAATGGCACATTCAAATCTTTATCACTAACCTTTTATTACAATTGTCAGTACAAGTATCATAACCTAATTTCTGTGTTCTTAATTGCATATAATGGTATTAAAATAAACTGAGTGTCATTTCTTTTCCACCAATAGATAAGTGAAGAAGATATGAGAAATCTCCTGTTTGGAGACTACATGAATCCTGACCTTGAAGGAGATG